GGTGTAAAATTATTTTTCGGAATAGAAAAAAACAGTAGTTGAGCTAGATAAGAAATTATACGAGGGCAGGCTTCTATGGAGAATTAACATTACTGGAAACAGGTCCTTTGTTCTTTTTTAAGTTTCATTGAATATTAAGTAACCACGATAAAATATATTTCAACCTGTCACAATAATCTGTCTTCAAATGACCGACTATTTGCTAGTATGACATCAGACGATATAATGACAAGAAACGAAAATGAAAGTAGAAGATAAATTGCATCAGTTCCCATGGTATAGAAAAAAGAAGCGTGAATTGAAATATAAGGATTGAATCTTGCTGATGTCGATTTCATGGGATGATGAATTGAGTTGGTCTTCTCTTCATTTCATTAAATTTGCCTCAAGACCAACTCAATTCATCATCCCATGAAATCGACATCAGCAAGATTCAATCCTTACGTATTACGTAGGTCTTATTTAATGGTGCTTTTTGAAGCTAGTTTATTGGGAATATAGCGTCTGATTTTACTCCCTGATGAGTGTCTGACATTATGAAATTCGACATTTTAACGATATTTGATGACATCTGACGACAGTTATAGGCCATGACATGTAGTGAATTAAATTCCAACCTAAAGAAAAAACTTATGTGTCGATTCTGACTACTCCCACAAGAAATCGAGTGGTTAATTGACAATAATCAGTTCCCCGGAAATGGGTCGTTTCGCCAGGCCGATTGAGTAACAAACCTTGTTATGAATATGAGTATTGGCAGACGAGGCTGGTACGTATGATTCTTATAACACTACCAGTAGAAGAATGTGCGAGAGCTCGAGAGCCTTGAAAAGAAGTTAGCGAGACACAAAAATCCCTAAATGTTTATACTACGATGTAAGGACTTAAAAATAACACTGGCAAGTCTCAATATAAGATGCCCGATACATACCATCAATGCACTAATGATCGTTAGTAAAGTGCAGAACGATCTGAAGAGGGAAAGAATATTAGCGACAAAATAGATACATGAATAAGCGAGAAAACACTTTCTACCGCCAAGATGACCGAGCGATTATCCTGTGACGCACTCGAGGATATATGATAACACATATGAAGCGCATAGATAAAAGAACATCTAACACGAACATAGAACATCATTTGACAGATGTCTGATAGGGAATTCTAAAACTAACAGAATAATGACAGTTGGAGATTTGAATAAAAACATGCTATATAAGTGGGTTATCGAAAACAGCTTACAGATTGCGACAAACACTGAGGGTTTGAATTATGACATCGTCCAGTGCAAATTTGGAGTTGATGTTTATGTTGTAGCCACAGAGCAGGCGAATAATTTCAGTTAGGCCGAGGCTGAACAACTGAAATCCTAAATGAAAGGTGATGCTACGAAATTGCCAGTAAACAACATATCAAAGGAAGCACGCATTGCACTGAAACAAGCAAAGATATTATGATTTTACGATGGAACAGATTGAAGTAACTGTCGTTATGAACACTTCTGAATATGACAACAAAGCCGTGGCTCGAAAGTAACAAAACACGAAAAACTCGAAAACAACCCTACCTCTATCCAAAAGTCCAAAATGCGCCTGGATGCTATCAGCAAGAAAAAAGAATCACAACAGAGATAACATAGACACCTGTATCCCACTGTAGAGCACACTCCTAGAATCTACTGCATACCTCATAACGGACTATACTTTTTTGTAGGTTACAATATCTCCAATTTACAAGCCAATTGAATTCATTTCAATGATGTAAAGAAAGAGTTTCTAGAAAGAGTTTCTAGCCACGACCCCCGTAGAATGCAAGTTTAGTGTTAAAATGTGAGAAAGAATCCGAAGGCACTATGCGACACCCTTCTAGTAAAGAGAGATAACGGTACTATCAAATTATTTGTCTACGGAAATAAAGACGTAGACGGACAAATATCTCAATGGCCTATTAGAAACCAATCAGAGGATTTACATTGGTGAATAGAGAAAATTTACATCGCGGACGTCATCGATGAAACAGAAGATGTTTACTCTTTCAGGAATACCTGGCCTTTTTCTCCTTGTACTTTTTTTCAGGAGTCTTAGTGTAAATGTTTATTTCTTTTATTACATCGTACCACTCCACTGATATACGACTGAAAACGAACACCTCGTAGACTAACCATTGCATATCCTGCTAAATGTTATTGTTACATGGGTAAATGTTTTCTCTAAAAAATCTTATTCCACGTTTTTTACACGAATGGAATGTGCGACAGAAAATATTTCCATTTACCAAAATTTGTCACCATGACATCGATTACATTGACTTTCCTCTGTTTGCAGCGATAATAACTCAGGAAGGGGACGGGATCAGCCTTTTGATTATCTGGAATACCCATATATGCGGGGATCATTTCCATCTGATTGAGAAATGCTCCGAAAAGAGGCTTTACTTCCGCGTCTCCGGATATTAAATATAATTACAATTGAAGCACTAATACATAACGTTTCCGGAATCATTCATTATATATAATTGCTTGGCGTTGACCTTAAACTAAAACGAAACATTTGGAAGAAATTAGCATGTATCGTATCTCTGTTCTAGAATATAAATCGCTGCAAAATTCCGTAAAACTATTTCCTTGTGGACCTGTCTTGCAAACCTACCCGTGATGCTGCATCCTACCCTCTACACCATGCTAATCATTGCACTGTCATAAACATGGCCTTTAAATTGTAGAAGAAACTCTATGATGAAAATTCCTTTTTCTATCCAAAAGGATTTGTGGGTATGACGAATGGTCCTGTAATAATGAAATCACCAACATCATTTATCAAGAACGATAAAGGTGTACGATAAATAAGGTAATGATATTTTGATATTTATTTTAAAAATCTTTGTAGTATTGGTAACAGATATCATTATCGTTTTTTCCTCAATGGATGATAATCACGACTTGAGTATTCCATGGTTCAAACTCATATAAGACTCAATATGGACGCCATTGCAGCAATTAACAACACGTGATATTTCTACACACAGAGATGATCCGTTTTGATATTCGGTTTTGGTTTTACATCGTTAAACATCCTATCAACAGCTTTGGAAATTTGTAAACGATCTCCTGATGTATGCGACTTGAGTGCAAGTGTTTGGATCCTGTAGTTGTGAGAGGCTGTTCATGTTTGCTGCCTTGTGATAGTATGGAACTGGTGTTGACTTTATTTATCAATTGTTGATATTTTTCTGTACAGACTATCATGCTGAATCAAAACAAATACGTTATGCTGAATCAGCAAATGATCACATTGGAATTTAGCTTCTAGACCACATTTACCTATACACGATATGTTAAATACAGTTACGAGGAGAGTCTTTTGGATTTATTATATGGGTTAAGTTTACCTTTTTTTCACACGGACCATTCACAATGAATTTGCTGTGTATATTAACACAGGATTATTTATATGCAAACTTTTCACACGGAATAATTAGTATTGAAAGTATTCACACGGGATAATTGATAATAAAACTCATAATTCGATAAATGTGAAGAGTACTAGAATACTTTCCAGATTATAGAATGTGTAATTTTTATCGAAAGAACAACTTATCGTTTTATTTAATAGCTTGGATAGGAACCTGGTTACTCTGAAATATCTTCTTATCTTGTTCAGCGTCGTCAGAGAGCCGAATTTGTTTTTATGCATTGTGCGCCTGTGTGGCAATAGCGACTTCCGTAGGTGTTATATTTGAGACATTCTTTTTGCAGTATTAATATTTCTCTTTGTGTCAGTCATCCAATGGTCACCGGTCATATATACTAGAAAGAAAATGACGTTCCGTTATCCCTAGAGACTCACATATAATTTAGTTGCTTTTAGTGACATCATAAACAAAATGTACCCCAAGGTAAGTCACACGGTAAAGAAACCCAGCTGTTGCACCGTATCACAAAAGCTCATAGATATATTATTTCAATTGTGAAAAGTAGTAGCTACTAATTTCCCCGACTAAATTTTGACATTTCTTACAATCACCTAGGATTTCCTCAGTCGTCTCATAGACAGGTAAGTTCATTGTCAATTTCATAAGCAGGTAATTTATATATATATATATATATATATATATATATATATATATATAAGATCTCTTCTCCGCTTCCCGGGTATGTTTTATTACTAATGTTTCCTTTTTGGGGTTTTAGATCGGTCTATAATCCATGCATAACGTGACCTATCACAGCCATATCATGAGGAAAAACTTACTGTTAAAAAAATTAATTCATCGTTGAGATATCGTCCCCACTACGTGTCAATGTTAATGCTATAAATTGACCAAGTGCAAGTAAACAACATCTTCTAATGCTGTTCGCTTTGTATCTTTCGTTCAATGACCTAAATGAGTTATTTAAAAACATAAAACCATGCTGCAAGTTCCTGTAAGCCCGTTATCACATGCTAAGGTGCATGTTTTACGCTATCATAAAAAACGTGTGATAAAGATAAAAAGGACCACATTCTTGACAAGGCAGATCGTCCATGACCACTCTTCTCATATTATCGAGACTTATCTAATATATTACCGTTTAACTGTTTCGAGGACATGCAAGCTTCCTGTAACCCAAACTTTGTACACCTCACATAATCACAACAGATTCTTTTCAAACAGATCATCTTATCATTGAACATATAACATTATTGTCAATCGCACTTTTTATAGACATTATAAAGCATTGCTCTGTTCAGGTCCTTTTTGTATTTTAATAGCAGTCAAACGACATGAAGACAATGCGCATTTACCATATCTTAGTATATCTTTCAGTCCTAATCGCCGAGAGCTGAGAAAAAAATCAGTTGACGGACGTAAGCGAGTAGTTAAATATTACCTATCGTATGGGAACTCCTCATTGCAGATTGGCGGGAATGTGTTCCGCCTAAATTAGGCCTACTGCATTTATTGAGAAATGTGTCATACATTTTCTTGTATATGATGTCACTTTCTTACATATCTTTAAATTATGTAGTCTCTTCATCATTTTTCTGACGAGACCGTTTTCTTTTCAAGATGCAAAATATGATAAGAAGTCCTACAGCTGCAAATGACGTTGCTCCCATCAAATGAAAAGAGAAGTGAAAAGTGTTGTTGATGTCACGAAAATATCCTGAAACATAAATATTTAGCAAACATTGTATTACTTCAAAGAATGAACATATTCTTTGTATATGCATTAAAACGGAAACATTCGGCATTTTGTAATATTTCTTGTAGTTGGTATATATTCAATAGATATTATTTTATCCTACTGATTGTGATATAAGGATTTTCGCGCTGCAAAGAACCATTTGATATGCTTCTCTAATGTCTAATGTATGTGCGCGAAATGATTAATACTTTTCACAGTTATTCCATATCATGTATGTTAAAATACTAATTTTCTGATTGTCTTATTCTTACCCAAAACTGGTACAGCGAGTCCTTCAAACAGACAAATCCATAGAATGAATATAGCCATAGCACTAGGATACCGATCTTTACCCACAATGTCTAGCATCATTGGCGGGAATAAAGCGACAATCATGCCAGCTGTGCAACCTAATATAGCGACAAACACCAGCAGGCGTAGAAATGAGGTGTAGTAAACGGTAAACTGCAGAACCACACCAACAACAATCTTAAAGGAAACAAACAAAATAATCGTGAAATTAGTGATCGTCTGAATTCTTTCGAGTAATGACACGGTGCGAAATGCTCTTGGCATTCTTCCAAAAAATAAATTGATTTAATTATGGGGCATGTGCACTTTCTGGATTTGACATTTATTTCTATCACTTTGGATTTGTCTCAATCGCCTCAGTCTTTAGGCTCTTGACATCATTGATGGGTCCAAAATGGACGAACCGTTTTTATGAGGCATTTTTATTTTAGCTTATTATAGTTTAGCACTCTCAGTTTGTAGTAAAATATGCTGTTCATCTGTGTGTCCTTCATAAAGGACTTACTTAGATTTGAGATTCGAGACTTGAGATTTACATCAAAACACAAAATTACAAATCAAATCAATACTGTCAGCATCAATTTTACTAGATTCCTCACCTGCGAGAGAACAACAATCTGTTCTGCAGTGATCCACTTTTGATCAGAGAGGAACCCAGCTACAATGCGTCCCACGAAATCTGATACACAATATAGGGAGACGATGATAGCAATACGTTGGTCTTCAATGCCAATATCTCTGGCATAGGTCGGAATATAGATGTGGGCGCACATCATGGCTACGTTTCCCATGCAATAGATGAAGAGAAATAGTAGAAAATGAACGTTTTTCAGCAATGAGCAATCTATCTTATTTTTGCATTTAACCAAGCATCCCTCTCCGATTTCACATTGTTTTTCATGATGACCATCCTTCCTATCCAACTGATCAACCGATAGTTTAGAATCCGCATATCCGTTAAGGGGATTTGAAACACCACCTGAATGAGCTGTATCATTGGAATCGTGAATGTGTGATATTTTGCAGATTGCAGAAGATTCAGCTTTTTCTTTGATTGTAATAAATGGACATGATTGATCAGTATTTGCCTTTTCAAGTTTCTCTTCCATAGCACTATCAACGGCTTCATTGGAGTCATTCGTTTGTGTATTGTCGGCGTTTGCAGAATGTTTTGCTGCTTCTTCCCTTGCTAGAAATGGATGTGAAGGGTCATTATTTTCCTCGTCGGGTTTCGCTGTCGTAGCACTGTTATTATCCACACTGCCAAACGATGATTTCTGTGGACTACGATCCGTGTAGAATGTAGTCGGACGAAGTAAGGCTGCAGCTACCAGAGAATTAAATATTATACCAGAAGTGATTATAAGTCCTCCACGCAATCCATATTCATCAAATACATAACGGTATAATGGTGGCATTATCACTCCACCCAAGGAATTTCCGGCTACAAAAACAGCATTCGCGATACCTTTTTTCTTGTCAAAATAATCACCAATTAGTATGTATATCGGTGGAATGTTGAACGCTGCTCCCATACCTGAAACAATTAAGATATACTATTCTATTTCATACATCTTTATATTGATTTTTCTAATGTTTTCTCATATTCACAACACTTCTAGCCACATTCATGATGTTTGGCAAAACACGAATGTAACTTTTGATGTTGCATTAAAAAAGACACATTAAATGCATAATTATTCGTTTTCCTTTTGCAATCTTATTAGCGAGTGGCTGTCGTGCTGCAGTGTCAAGATAAAGACATTTCAGTGTGACATCACTATCAAAACGTCTGTCAGTAGTTGCATCATCCGTGGACACCTTTATGAGATTTTGGCATTTATATACTACTCCGACCATTTCCAGTTACCATTAATTGACTCCATTTATAAATGATGCAGTATATCTTACCAACAAGGATACTCTGTGATACTAGTAGATATTCCAGCCCGGTAGCAAAGCTGCTGATGCCATATCCGAGAGCACTGAGCGTTATTCCGAGAAAAACTGATATCCTAATGCTTAGTCTTTTAAAGCCAATTAATAAGACTGAAGCCGCTGTAAAAAAGCAAATGTCATAATTGTTTTTCATGAAGTTTTTTCTATTATCATTATTTCTTTCTCACTCAAACGTCACACAAGCCATCCATTGAAACAAGACTACTAATTTAATGCTAACATTTTACTGATAACAATACCAATTGCCATGCATGACCACAGAAAGCGGATTTTTGAAATATGTATTCTTTAATGGTAAAGGCAATCTCGAGTTTATAATATAACCAATTTTCTGACCTCTCTAAAGAAATCAACCATCGACAGTTTGGCGAATTTGTTGAAATACCAGTATGATACGGACCTTTACTTCAGTAATGCCGCAACAAACGGGATAATCTTACGGCAGACCTCCCTTTGTTCTGATTATCATCCTTAAGTACACTAAAATATTAATTGTTTAAGGCAAACGTAAAGGTTATGTTATAGTGCCAATTCACTTAGTATCTTGTCATGTGTATATGGGCCGATGATATTTATACTTCTGCTGGATTGGATCTTACTTCGTCGTCCATCTTTACCTTTGCACATTTGATTGCAATGCTTCCGATTTGATCACCAAACAAAAAAGAAATTCAAATGAAAAAAAAAAATTGTTTTTGTGATGAATCCTATGGATAGGTCTATTTCAATTCGAAAGATGTAAATCAATACTTGACGTATTTCGGGAGTTTTAAATTGGAGCTTCGATAATAAAAATAGTACACAAGCAAGTCTTCAAAGGATCACTCTTAACATTACATTGAAGTTGAATCACGCCTATGTCAAGTTGTGGTGGTTTTGGAGCTAATTTATTTATATTCAGCGTCTGATTTCGTTGCCAGACTAATGTCCAACTAACTGTAATCTTACAAATCATCAATCACATACCAAATTAAGGCAAAGAATGTATCTATATATATTCTGAATTCTCTCCGCAAGATATCTCGAAACGGTTAAGTTGGTCGTTTCACTAGGCCGGTTGAGTTTTGTACCTTGTTATAGATATGAATGTATTAATAGACGAGGCTGGTACTTATAACTCTTATTGCACAACCAGCAGAAGAATGTGCGAGAGGTCAGGAGCCTTGAAAAGAAGCTACAGAGACACAGAAATCGCCCACTGGGATGTAGGGACTTCTAATTAACATCTTCAAGCCTCAATATTAGGTGCCCCATTAAGACTATCAATGAATACGCGTTATTAGCTACAAAATAGACACACTAAAAAGTGAAAAGAACAACTTGCCGTCAAGATGACCGAGCGGTTATCCAGTGACGCATAGAGGAAAGAACGTCCAATACGAACATAGTACACCATTTGACGAAGTGGAAATGTCAGATGGAGAATTCTAAGAATGGCAGCACAATGACAAATGCTAAACAAATAGGATTTTACACATAATAATAATTGAAGCATCGTCCCGTGCAAATTTGGAGTTAATGATTTTATTGTAGTGCATGGCTTTTCTAAATTGCTAGCAAACAACATATCAAAGAACGAACAATCATTCATTACAAATATTCGCCTGGTGTTGACCTCAGATTAGAACGAGATATTTTAGAATACTTTAGCTTTACTTCTCTAAACTTCCACAAAACTATTTCCTTGTGGTCATGTCTTCGGAACCTACCTGTTATGCTGAAAACTACATTCCACACCGTGTTAATCATTGCAGTCATAAACACTGTGCCTTTGAATTGTCGAAGAAATTCTATGAAGAAAATTCCGAAAGATTTTTCTGTCCCTACATTGATTGTAGATATGACGAACGATCCTGTAAATGATGAAATCACCAACAGCATTAATCAAGAACGTTAAAAGGGTGTACGATAAATAAGGTAATGATATCTTTAATTTCATTTATATATATTTTAATATTTAGTGTTCACTATTGATACTCGATCTCGTTAGCGTTTCTTCTAAATGGATGGTAATCGATAGTGAAAACTCTTCCGACTTTATAGGGTAAGTGTTGCTACTTTTTTCCGTACATAAATTGCATGGAATCAAGGCAATTGAGGTATGTTTTATTCCTTATTGGAATTTGGCTCCAAGACCATATTTACCTCACATATGAGATATACACGGTGTGCGGTAGCAGTATGGATGTGTTACTTGTGCATATTAGGATAGTAATAATCTTAATAATACAATACCTGCCAAGACAAAGGATTCATATTGTACTAATATTACTTAGGTGTGACACTATACACTATAAGGACACCTGTTTCATCTTAAAATCGTTTTGTTCTTTTCTTTTTCTTAACACTTACCAACCAACACCATCCACGCCCATCCTCTATCCACCGGGATCCTAGCGTCTCGGTCGTCAGTCATTATATGCTATTGAAAACAACCCAAAGACGAACAATAAAATCTTAAAACATCTTAGTCGGTTTTCGATTTTAATTATGTACAATTTCTATTCAACTAAGGGATAAAGCCCATTGTCAGAGTTCTACGGTAGGGTTTAATCATATACATATGTACAGCGATTACTATACATTTGACCGTATTTTGAAGAGTTACTGCTTCAGTACAAATTCGGGGTTAAGAAGTATTTCAATTCAAACAATCAAACAGACTATTCCATTCCATATTTTTACTCTCAAAGATGAAGCATGGAGATGTCTAAAACAATACCAATAACAGATTAAAATACATCATAAACTCTTCACAACACACAGTAACATTCACATTCATGTTACTGACAATACATACTTGCTCTGTAGTAATGATACAAAAATGAATATCACTTCAACTATGTAGCTTATTACAAATTTGCTACACATTACTTATATCTACATTGGACATAAATGACGTAGACCAAGACCTTAACAAAAATAGAGGATTACACAATGTATTTTAAAAGATATTGCTCTCACGCGGATCGGTCATGTGAAAATATAGATTAAATCTAAAGTCATTGAATTGCTTCTTTGGAATAGATCAGTAAATGATCTTTATCAATAATTTGCGTAGACTTAAACAAATTGTAGCATAAATCAAAGACTTTCCCCATATATGGCACGACGGACAAGAATGTAATGAAAAATATCACAACAGTCTTTCTGCCTAAACCCAAAATCAGAGGTAAGAAAGGAAAGAAAGGTTAGTCAGGAAAAGGACGATTGAATTTAACACCGTATGTCACAGGTCAAATGGTCAGTCATTGTCCAGAACATGTACAATACGTGACTAACAATAGTATGCCTATTCCGGGCCTACTAGTATGGAAATCAGACAAAACCAAAGTAACCGACGCTTACGCGAATGTACACGAATAAAAGACAAAAATATAATAAATACAAACTATCACTTATATTACAAGGCTCTAGAGTATTATTATCAAGTTATTTTACTTTTCCAACATATAAAATTGGGCTCTGTAAGTGAGGACATGGGGATTTTCCGGATCAGAGCTCTTAAATCGTTGATACTAGCTGCTCAAAATTTTGTACCATTATCTACCACTATCATAGTGTTCTCCTTTTTATGTTACCAGGAAAATAAATAGGCTAAATTACAAATTTTAGATTTTGCTAGTAGCTTTCAGATATATTGATGACGTCTTAAAAAAGAAAAAAAAATATATTTCTTATATGGACTACGTCCATCGTATATGTCCACCGGAACTTTAAATCAAAGACACGACAGACTCTTCTACTTCATCTGCTTATCTCTATCTTTTCCAACAACGAAACCAACGTGGACAATTTTCCATCAAGCTGTATGATAAATGTGATCATTTCAATTTTACTATTGTGATTTTTTCCATTTCTAGATAGCAATATCCCTGCGTCTACTACCTATCGTATTTTCCTGTAACAGTTGATTCGATATTCAAGAGACAGCTAGCATTATAACGATTTTTGTACAAGAAGTCGTCCACTGACGGACAAACTCGTAACACAAGGGGACAAAAGATGCAGGTTGGTGTCATTACTAGTGATCTCATTAAGAAATATATCTCATGAAGCTGGGCGTATTTGATGCTCGTTAGTTGTTGTATACCATGTTCTCGTTTGAGAACGTGACATTGCTTACATGGATTGTCAAATGTTTACATTGCGGGTGTCGTCGATGAAGCTCTTACTCTTCCGGAACAGCTGGTCTTCTTCTCCTTGTACTGCTCAGGAGTCTCCATGTAAATCTTTGTTTTGTTCATATTTTGCCATAGGTTTATTAAATTTGAGTTTGAATTATGATTATGTGTCATGTCGGTATTTTCTTCTAGTACTGTTAGACGTGTTTTATGCTATGGAGAATGTTCTCATTTATACACGGAAACAGATAGGCAAATTACAAATTGAAGCACGAGTAAAAACCGTAAACTATCTGAAACTCTGTACAGATTGACACTAGCATTTTGGTAGTGACTTTTGCTTTGGTGTAGTCTTTATTTGTTATATATATATAAAAAGCAGAGGAAAACTTGAAATTTTGTGCACATTTCAGCTTATCCCTCCGGATACGGTATGTTTCAGTGACAGTGATGGAATGGAATTAAAACTGTTAGTGCGATATTAACACACACACCTTTGCCCTTCCCTCCCCCCGCCCCCTCAACAAACCCCTCCACACACACACACAAACACACTCACACACACTCACCCCCCCCCCCCACACACATGAACATGAAAACATGAATTCAAAATCACATTTACTATCGTTTTTTCAAGCCTGGTGGCCATATTAAAGGGATTTCTCTTATTTAAATCATATTTATACATATACGTGCTTGTGTTACTTTTAAAACCAGGGCGTGGGAAATGTCACGTTGTTTGATTCATAAAACACATGTTACAGCACATGTAGGTGTGCAATGGAAGTATATATAGATTATAAAACGATGTTTCGTATGCCGTAACATAACGTTTACTGGCGAGGTCGGCTGTTATCAGCTATACACACTTTATGTCCCATTTCTGTGGTGTCCACTTGTGTCCAGACATTTTTATGAATAATTCTATTCCCTTGTCATGTTATGTTATTATATCTTCAGAAACTGTTTAGAGTTTATGGAAAACAAAATATAATTACAAAATAATGTGTGGATTTGCACTTACTTACCCCGTTTGTAATGTTAGTTGGTTATCTGTGCGCGAAGTAAGTGCGCCGTGAAATGACCTCGCTTGTATAAACATACAACCTGGTAGTGTTATACTTAGCGCTTCCAATCGCCCTAAGCCACCGCACCGTTGTGAACTATACTGAAACGTATTTACATCAAAAGCAAATATACAGAGGGCGAAATCATGAAAATCACCTACTTTCTGGTTGACAGCATTTTCGTTGGGTTTGGAGGTAAGATCTTCCAACACACTATTGGCATACCTATGGAAACCAACTGCGCCCTTCTGTTGGCTGACTTGTTTTTATTTCACACGAAGCTGAATTTATTGAAGAGCTTATCAAAACAGGCTATAAAGACCATGCAATGTCTTTTAATTTCACCTGCAGATATATTAATGACGTATCGCCTATAAATAACAAGAAATTTATTGACTACGCCCATCATATATATATCGCCCAGAAATGGAAATCAAAGATGCGACAGACTCTTCAGCATCAGCTGCCTCAGCGAAACCAGCATGGTCATCTTACCACAAAGGTGCGTGATGGCCATGATCAATTTCAATCATCCTATTAAGAATTTCCATTTCTAAGAAGCTATATTTCTGCATCCCCTCACCGATGACGTTTTCATAGCGCAGTTGATTCGATATTCAAGGGCTTGATTCTTTTATCATGATTTTATTGCAAGAAGTTGTCAATTGACGGACAAACTCATAACACAGGGTTTCAAAAGATGCAGGTTTTATGGTCGCCATATTGATCTCTGAGAAATAATATATTTCTTGATGAGATATGAAGCTGGACGCGTTTCACGCTCGTTAGTTTGCCTGTTTACAAAGGTTTACATGGCGTTTGTCGTCGATAAAGCAGAAGACGCTTACTCTTTCGGAACACCCGGTCTTATTCTCCTTGTATTGTTTCATGTGCCTGCATGTCAATCCTTCTTTTGTTCATATTGTGTCCTAATTTTATGGAATTTGAGTTTGGATTATGGTTATGTTGAAGTAGAGAAGGAGATGATTATGATGTATAGTGTAAAAAAGCTGTAACCAAAAGTCCTGCACTTCGTACATGGAGGTTCTCCTATACCAGATATTTTTTGGTGCAAACTATAATTTTAGGTATATTGATATGCCACAATCAAGACCTGCTTTTCCGCACTAAGCTTCAGGAAAGCTCTTCCTTGTGAAAACTGATCCTGACACAAGCTAATTACGTTATCTAGGAACGATTTTAGAAAATAACCCATTGTTTGTTAGTGTTTGTAAATATCAATATGATTATTTTATAATTAAAAGAATGGAAATAATGGACAATGTCTCTCTTACAACGCCAATCTCCAGGATTGTGTGTGTAAATTTGGTGGTTATTTCAAGAATAATGAGGGCGAACACCATATCCGGTTCCAGCCATTTATTAGGTAAAACCCTAAAGACCCCCAACAATGGGTTAAGGGTCCTAAAGTAACATAGGGCTCGATCGTAGGCAAATGACTGATATCATTGGATCGTAGATATAGATGATTAAATTTACGGGACAAATGTGTTCGTAAGCCGGACGAAGGTTTCAATCGTCCGTAGTAGTCAATGTCCCCTTTGTCCACTAAAAACCCGCCAAATACAGACAAAGACCAAAGAACGAAAACGAGACAATAACTGGACATATATAGACACACCACGTCACACGGGCAAACTGGACATATAGACGCAACATAAATACATACATTTATAACGATCACAGACGGCGCGAAAATCCCAACGACGCGACGCTAGACAACAGCGGCCAAAATTACATAAAACTTAACCCTATTACATGTGGATGACCCTAAAGACTGACCTTACTTTGGTTTTATGTAGTAGTCTTTTTTAGAACTTATCTTTCAAGAAGCATGTTGTAACATATATACCGAAATAATTTTAATGTCCAATTTGAGTAATTCATAGTATATCCTGGTCAAACTGATTTTGATGCAACTCAGCTTATCAGTTAATTAGTATATTAAACGTTTAAGCTTACCACTAAAACGTCGCTATGATCGCTGTAGACGCCACTAAAACACCAGTATGATTAAGTATAAAGACATCAGTAAAACGTCTTTATGATCGTATGTAGATACCACTAAAGTATCTATTTGATAAGTTTGTAGATGTCACTTAATCGTCTGTATGATACAATTTGTAGACACCATTATAACGTCTTCTGATAGTTTGTAGGCACAAGTAAAACATCTGCATGATACAGTTTGTAGACGCCATTAA